GACTGAGAATATGCATTTGCTAGTTCATATGATATTTCATATTATATTCTCGTTGATTGTGCATATTAATTTSGGATCACTTTTTCACCTCTGGTGCAACGAAGAAAACTCGTGTCCATACTTCCATGGACATTATCCATGATAATTCTCAGTTTCATTAAATTTAGGGACTGAGCAATAATTTTCAGGTGGGTTGATAATTTAACATGATATTGCATTGCAAATGAAATAGGCGACGTAAAAGCTTCTATTTGAAGTCTATTTGAAGCCCTACTTTTTTTTCAAATAGGATGAGCCTGGTAGCGATAGACCGTATAAAAGGAAAAGGGTTTCCGTTTCCAGTGAGGTAATTATATATAAATAACTGCTATCTGTGTGATCTGTGCATACAGACGGGAACCTCGTGTCATACCGTGAATACAATGCGCGCATTGATTGTCTGAAACGTGCAAAGACCCGGGGTGATTCAAGATAAACAGTTTTCACAAAACTAGTTATGCACTACAGCAACATACTAACCGTTTCCATTTCTCCAGGACGACGAACGTGATCTATTTCGTGCTACATTTGCTACAAGTCGAAAACCACCTTCTCCTCAACATCGTTACAGGTATATATTGTGGGTGTGTTTTTCAGTGTTTCGTTGTTGTTGTTGTTTCCTAATAAGGAAATTGATCTTAAAACCGAAATATAATGGTAATTGAACTTCGTGTCGTGCAATTTTGGACTGAAATTACTTCCTTTTAGTTGTGACAATTTAAAGTGAATAAAACATGAACGCCCACACTCTTATTGTTCTCAACATGCACGTTTTGTAAAATCTTTTTCTATAAACTGTCTTCAACGCCATAGACACCATAGACAATGCTGTGATATCATGACTTGAAAATAATAACTTTTGGCTTTTTAATTGTTCCTCGTTCAAATGATGTCACACTGACGTCATATGTGCTGGATACTGGAAAGATGATATACRATTATCATCATAAGCACAGTCAAATGTTATCTTGAGTCGTTACTACTCTTTYGTAATCATATGTAATGATTGTCTCTCTGGTAACAAGTGTAACGTCTTAATTTTGATTAACGTCATGCTCTATGGTGCTTTTGCTCGCTTCAAATCATCTGATTCAAAACTCACTATTAAGTGTCTGTATCGGGATTTTATGGTAATTTGTACAATTTGAATAGTTTATAATGATACTAAATCTATATCAAGCAATTTTAAAACAATTTCCACCATCTTTGGTGGCCACTAATCCTAACCTTAAGGCTCAACACCCCTCCTTCCCCACAGTCTGAATAGGCTGAATAGCCTAAGAATAGACCATAACTTTATCACTTCTTCATTCATAGAAATTTTGTCGATCTGACTAAAGATCAGTTCTCGGAAGAAGACGTTAAGAAGGAATTAGGAGGGTTTGAGTCTGAACAGCGAGGCCACGATGTGGAGGAATCGATAACTCAAAGTAATATAAGGTAAAAAAAATTGCCACTAATGATGCGTAATGTTGCATATTCTTACTTCAWTTCTTCATTCAGTCATTTATCCATATTTTTTTGTTTATTGATTTCAGAAATTTATATTTMTTTTACAGCTTGAGTGACATTTTATCTGTCCATAAGGCAGAAATTAATGCAAGCTGTAATCCATACAGYGAAGTGGAGTTTCTCCGTTTCATTATAAGGAGGGGATACGTCCTCGAAGACGGCTTCCGCAGGTTGGAKCGATGCACCACCGAGGACCTCAAAAACGAGGTCCAGGTGAGCTTTATGGGAGAGCCAGCTGTCGACGAGGGAGGCCCCAGAAGAGAATTCTTCACATTATTTTTCGAAGAAGTTGGCCGTTCTAATATGGTTGAAGGCAGCCCGGGCAAGCTGCAACTTAGCAGTAACTACCAGAGGCTGACCAATGGTCATTACAAATTGCTGGGYAAAATGATAACCCTYTCATTATTGAATGGTGGGCCCGGGCCGCAGTTCCTCCATACTTCAGTGGCAGAACAAATTGTTCAAACAAAAAAGAGAACTCCCTTAGAAATAGAAGACTTGGGGGACTACGAGCTTCGTGAACATTTAAACAAGGTATAATAATGGAATTGGTGACTTGCAAACGGCACACAATCCCGATTAAGGCGAAAGGTTTGGATGTTTTTTTTTGTAAATTCAGAGCGTCTTACAATTGAATGTGTTCCTTTATTTTTGGAGGTTTAGAACACAGCGGGCGTCGGCTACTGTACTGTGAGAAGAAAATGAAAAAGAACTCACATTAATAAGTATTGACATCAGATTCAACTTTCATGGTGAAAATTTGCTTGAAGCCATGAAATGAAGAAATATTAACTTTTCGTCACTCTGTTTATTCTAAGTAAGCTATTTGCATCACCATTCATTCGCGTATCCCAAACTGCTATCCCAAATTGGTCTGTTGGAACTTTCGAATATCAATATCTTGTTTGATTATCGTCTGCAGATTCAAGAGATTGATGATGACGAAGACTTAAATAAATACTGTGACAAATACTTATCCAAGAGGTTCGACATCGGCTACTGTAAGCCAATCAGTATTAACGAAAAGACGGAGCTAGCTGATGCATTTATCAACCACAACATTCTTCACAGTCCTGGCCTATACCAACTAATGGAAGGTGGGGATSAGGTTTGCGTGAAAATGAGAGTGCTTTTTTAGGCTGTACATGTTTTTGTCCTTTATGTGCCTGCAATTACTGATTTACTGAGTAATAGAAGTAAGTCAGAAAGGGAAGAAAGCACAACTTAACCTTCTGAATATCCCTACAAAACCCTAATATAACTTGTGTCGGTTTAAAAACATCTACTTTTTTTAAATTCCCGTAAGTTTTAAGGAAATGCCACAGCCTAACACATCTGTCAACCCTCACCTACCGGTATAAGCATACATATAGCAAAAATCACTGACAAAGAAGCAAGATATACATAACACAAGAAAAGCAAATGAACTTACTAAAATATGTGAAATCGCTGATTTAGGTTCGCTCTACTTATTTATCAATTTAATATCTATTGATATAGGGCTTGRTGATCTCAGTATRCTCKCCTGTATGCGAAAGTACCYTTGCCATTTTTTGCCAGTGTTGCGGAAATCGGAAAAACAGCTTTCGGCCTCCCAACTGCAAGATCTGTTTAAACCAGGATTTTCGGAAGCTGGTACCAACCGCCGTACTATGGATGAATCAATCTTCTTAAACTGGACATACTTTTTAGAAGATGTTGAAGGTATTATATTTGTATTATATTTATGTTCTTTTTGATAAATTATCACACATATATAGTTATGTGTGGCAGTGGAGTAAATACTAAGTGCCGTTACTTACTTTCATTTAATGCTGTCTTTTTGCAGCTGGTAAAGTAACTTCCGAAATACACTCTTTAGAAGATGGTGAAGGTATTAATTGCGTGTAGTTATCACAATAGTTACATGTAGCAGTGRCGGGGTATATGACTCAAAGTTATTACTTTCCATTGATCGGCATGCATGAAACATACAAGCCTTCCCTGCTACGTACTATCATTTCATTAATTTTGTCTTAATTGCATAAAGGTGCTGCCTATGAGATGAAGAAAGAAGAACCGATAGAACTTAGCGATATTCTTCAGTTCGCCACAGGGAGTAGAACCATACCGCCTGGCGGATTTGGACAACACCATGTCAACTGGTCTAGGAAAATCTATGCAAACACATGCGCAACTACTACCAGTAAGCCCCAAAATGAGGCTGATGAGCCTCATGAAGGAGGAATTTGTAGAATCCATTGTCAATGACCAAGGGTTTGGTCAAGTGTAAACGTCTCGAAGCAACTATTTAGGCAATGAAGTTGGCATAGTAGATAGGATATTATAAATTTTTTTAGGTTT